CCCCACAACACCCAGAGCCCCTGGGGGACGGTGGTGGCTCCCAGGGTGAGGAGCTGGCCCCGCTTCCCAGAGCTTTCCCGATGGAGTGGGATGCGCAGGGATGACGGAGGGGACGCCACAGCGGACCTGGCGCTTTACCTGCCCCGTTCTCCCCATAGGCCAGGTGTGGGGGGACGACCACCCGCCGCCTCTCCCCCATGCAGACCCCCTGCAGGCCCTGGTCCATGCCGGGGATGATGTAGCCCTTCCCGATGTAGGTGTTGTACGTGTGGTTGCGGGAGTAGCTGCAGGGAGAGAAGCAGAACCTGGAGCATCAACCCTCAGCCCTGCTCCCCAACCTCGTCCCAGCCTCTGCCCCGCTCCCCCGGAGCCAAACCCTGCTCCTGGGCATGCAACAAACAGGCTTTGTCCTTTTCAGCCTGTTTCATGCCCGTTACTGCCTTCTCCTCCACCTCCTCCATCGATTCTCATCCTCTGCTTGCAGCCGGCTGCTGAGCACAGGGATGGAGAGGGTGGGATCAGGGCATGTCCCCACTTCCCTCCCCACACCTGGAGTCAAAGAGCGTCCCATCCATCAGTGTGCCATTGTAGTGGTAGCGGACGAAGTCCCCGGTCACGGCCCGGCGCTTGCAGGACTCGGGCACCTCGAGGTGCTCCAGGGACACACTGTCCTTGGGGTTGTGGAAGTCCACCAGCAGCACGCTGAACACCAGCGATGCCTGCGGCGGGATCACGGTTCCTGAGGAGGGGACACGGGTCAGCCCGGACCTGGCTCCTGCTGCACAGGGGTGGGAGGGAGGCACGGGGGCAGGAGGGAGCGGGGTGATGCCTGACCCACCGTAGCCCTTCTCGCCATAGGCAAGGAACGGAGGGATGATGATGCTCCTCTTCTCCCCGGCGCACATGCCCAGCAGCCCCTGGTCCATGCCCTTGATCAGCCAGCCCGTGCCCACGTAGGTGTCGTAGGTGCTGTTCTTGCTGTAGCTGGTGGGGAGGAACAAGGGAGAGGACGGCTCCAGGGTCGCCATGTGGGAAGCTGGTTTGGGGCCATGGAGCTGCACAGGGGGAGGCTGCTCTGGCTGGGGTGCAGCGTGAGCCCCCATGTCCAGTGTCCCCTGGTTGCTGCCCTCCCCGG